AGCTCAGAACTGGCTCAGTTTGGGATTTTAGGGTACAGCCTTATATGTTCTTCAAAGAGTAAGCATTCCCAGGGGGTGCCAATCAACTGCGATGGGTCGACATACTAGGAGGTGGGTGGGTTCCTTATATCACTCAGTCCACTGGGGCAGATATCACCCCACCATCAAAGGAAATACCACCCCCCAGTCTTGGAAGTCTGTCTCCACCCAAACCTGAATAGGATAAAATCAATTCAGGCCCGGGTTGGAGTTTGACCAAGATAAGAAGATTCAATACAATCTCATTATCAGAGATGTCCTCCTGAACAACTTTGGACAGAAGGCTGGCAGGGTGGAGCTCTGAGTCTCCAAGACACAGATTACCAAGAGAAATCATTTTTAGATAGTAGGTGCAATTATTATTCCCATTTTACAACTGAGGAAAATGAGGCAGGTTAAGTGACTTGTCCAAGGTGAAACAGCTACTAAGTAAGTGTCTGAGGAGGACTTGGGTTGAATTCAGGACGTTCTGACTCCAGGCCCAGTGCTCTATGCACAGCGCCACTTAGCCTCCCATATATGGATAGCAAGGGCCCGCTTGTGGCCCATTTTTTTTATATGGGAGCTTGGTGAAGCCATTTGTGTGAACAAGACTAATCCTCCCTCAGTGGCATTTTTTGACAGTGCCCTTTGCCCAAACCAAGCTCAGAAGGGAAGGGTGAAAACACCCCTCCCCTCAAAGTATCACAGTTGCATGGATTTAAGGTCTATCTTAGCCTGACGTTCTTGACGTGGGGACCATGATTAATTTTTAATAAAGTATTTTGGTGATTGCATTTCAACACAATTGGTTTCCTTTGTACATATGTGTTTTATTTTCTTCATTTAAGAACATTATTCTAAGAAGGGGTACATAGGTTTCACCAGACTGGCAAAAGGGTCCTTAAGAAACAAAACAAGTTTTTACAGAGGAAGAAACTGAGGTATAGAAATACACAAATAATAAGTGGTAGAGACAAGCTTTGAGGCTCCAACTGTAAATCCTTTCCATTTTATCATATTCCTTTCCCTTCTTTATTCCCCTGTTCTTCTCAAGTTTGGAACCTTTGCTACAAGAAAACAAAGAGCTAGGGAGGTTTTGTCTCTTCTTTTGTTCTGTTTTAAAGAGTATGGGGAGGAGGGGGGGGCGGGGCAGGAACGGCCAAAGGGCACAAGACCCAGTGAACAAACCATTTTGAAAACAGTTTTGACTTTGTTTTCTTCCACCACTAATGAGATGGAGCCGCAGCCAGCTTGTTTTGAGTTTCAAACCTCTGGAAGGGGCAGACTCAGGGGAGATGTGTGGAAATGGAAAGGCTGCTCAGGCTTCAGACATGGTAACATAGTAAGAGAAGGAGGCTTTGGTTTAACAGTTCAAGAGGTAAAGGGGAAATCTGAAGACAGGATGAAAATAGCCCCGGGACACAGCAACCAGACCTAGGAGCTGAAGAATACATTGAGATTTAAACACTGAGACCTGGTCTGTTTCTTGGTGCAAACCAAATGTCACTGTAGTGAATGCATAATGTGAAAATCCCTTTCATCAATGCATCCTGAGAACTTGTCTGTATCTTACAGTCTTAGAGATTGCCTGGGGCATTAAGCCACCAAAGGATTGGCCCACAATCATACAACTGGTGTGTCCCAGGGAAATAACTCCAGGTCAGCTACCTAGTCACTGCCCTATATTTTTCCCCTCTCTTATGAGGATGGTGGTGATGGTGGTGATGATGGTGGTGATATGTTTATGAAAGATAGAAAGACAGAGAGACAGATTCACACAGCTAAATGTACATATGACACATTTTGTAAAGGAAGGGGAAAAAATCATGAATTTACTACATAATTCTATATTTTCACGTTAGTCTCCACAATGGTATTCTCTCCACATAACTTTAAGAATATACCACTAAGAACTAAGAGATCATAAATTTGGGCATAGGACAAAAATCACTCAACTCTCTGCAAACATTGCTAGCATAAGCTATCTACCTGTCTTTGCCTGTGCCTCTCCAACCCCACCCCATTTATGTCATTCAATTTCATCTAATTCAGCATTATTATTCAGTACTTACTATCTGTAAGACACTCTGCTTTGTGATAAGGAAAGAAACTCTAGCCGTTTTTAAGAATCAAGAATCCTTAATTCTTCTTAGAACTGCTCCATTTCTGTCAATGATAACACCAACAACCTTTGACCTAGGTTTGCAACCTTAGAACAATCTTCAATTCCTCATCTTCACTCTCCCTCCCCATCCCCACATTCACTTGTCAAGATTTTTCATTTCTAGCTCCCTAGCTTCTCTGGCATGTCCCCTTCTTTCCACTCACAGTCACCACTGAGGTTCAGGTAGTTCAGGATGCAATCACCTCTCCCCTGGACGGTTGCAATGGCCTCCTCATTGGTTTACCTGCCTAAAGTCTCTCCCCTCCTATCTCCAAGATCCCTTTTATCCAGCTGCTAAAGCAATATCCTAAACATAGGCATGATCACTCTCATCCCAGCTCAGTAAACACCAGTGACTCTCTTTTACTTCTAGGATTAAACACAAATGTTAGACATTTAAAACCCTCTGCAATATGGCCCCGGCCTCCAGCTGCATTGCACATAATTCCCTTTCACACGCTCTGCAATCCAGCCAAGGGGAACTTCTTTGATGTTTTTCATCTGCAACATTCTATTGATACGACTTCCTCTTCTGTGCTCAGGAAGGCATTTTGGAACAGCTTCATTCCTCAATGAATCCTTTCTAATAAAAGGGCTTAGGCTTTTTTTCTCACACTCATAGTTCCTTAAACCCCTCCCCCCAGGTACAATTTTACTTACATATCTTAGGTTATGGATTGTACCTAGGGATTCTCCAAAAACAGTGATAAAAAAAAAAGTACATAATATGTATGAGCACATTTTTAAGGTTAGGGTTGTGCACAATATGAATGAGATGTGGGATAAATATTCCTACACACAAAAGAAATGCTAAACATGAAATACCTACAGCATTCATTAAAAGAATTACTTAAAAACAGAATTCAGTAATTTAACTTATAACTGCTGTTACAGTCTTTTTGGAGGTTCATATTACAACTTTATCATAACATAAAACAATTTTCAGGAGTTCCTTACCAAAATAAAATCACAGGGCTAAGGGGGAGAGGGGAAGAAGTATGCTACTGGGGAAGCTAGGTGGCACAGTGGATAGGGCACTGGCCCTGAAGTTAGGAACACCTGGGTTCAAATCTGGCCTCAGACCAAACACTTGACACTTAATAGCTGTGTGACCCTGGGCAAGTCACTTAACCCCAACTGCCCTAAAATTAAAAAAATTTTAAAAAAAGAAGTATGCTACTGAGACAGCTAAGTGGTATAGTGGATAGAGCTCTGGGCCTAGAGTCAAGAAGACCTGAGTTCAGATTCAACCTCAGACACTAGCTATGTGACCTTGGGCAAGTTACTTAACCTCTATATGCCTCGGTTTCCTCAACTGTAAAATAAAGACACTAACAGTAACTATCTGCCAGGGTTGTTGTGAAGATAGAACAATGTGGTGTTTGTAAAGCACATTGCAACTCTTAAAGTGCTACATAAATGCTAGGTATTACTCACAGTGGGGATACAAAAACAAAAATGAAGTAGTCCTTCCTCTCAAGGGCCTTACATTCTACCTGGGAGAAGGTGTACTGTTGAACACACACACACACACACACACACACACACACACACACACACACTCTCCCTCTCTCTCTCTCTCTCTCTTCTCTCTCTCTCTCTCTCTCTCCCTCTCTCTCTCTCTCTCTCCCCCTCTCTCCCTCTCTCTCTCCCTCTCTCTCTCTCTCTCTCTCCCATCTTCTCTCTCTCTCTCTCCCTCTCTCTCTCTCCCTCCCTCTCTCTCTCTCTCTCTCTCTCTCTCTCTCTCTCCCTCTCTCTCTCTCTCTCTCTCTCTCTCTCTCTCTCTCTCTCTCTCTCTCTCTCTCTCTCTCTCTCTCTCTCTTTTTCTCTCTCTCTTTTTAGGCCAGGACCTGTGGTTTTATTTTTACAAGAAACTACAGAGGAGTTTTCAGCTAATGAAAATAATGACTATTCTACAATGTATGGCCTTTAGAGAATTGCCTAGAGCACCAAGAGAAAAGTGACTCTCTTATGTTCATACAACTACATGGTGTTAGAGGCTGGACTTGAATCCAGGTCATCTTGACGGTCAGAATCAGTTTTAGTCTTTCTACCAACTATACCAGACATGTCAAACACATGGTCCCTGAGGGCTGCATACAGCCCCCTGCATGTGCTCCCAGTATGGCCTGAACCTGATTAAAATGTAATTAGGAAATGCTTAACAAAATAAATAAAAATACAACAAAACATAGATAATATAAATATGTGGTTTTCTTAGTCAATATGTGGCCTGAAAGGATCCTTGTGTATAATTAATTATCCTCTTTCTACTTGAGTTTAACACGACTGTACTACACCATAGTACAGACAGAAAATCCTCAGATTTCCTTATTCTTTAATTCATTAATAATATCTCCTAAAAATTCTACTCAGATGTAAAAATTTTAAAAAAATTAAACAGTGGATGCTAATTGAAAAAAAAATTTGACAATTCCTTAAATGTCAAGTATTTTCCCAGTAAATCTCTCTTCAAGCCTACACAAGATTAAAGCAAAATTTCTAAGTGGGTTCCTAGATAAAATCTTAGCAACAGAAAGGATCAAACCCTTTGTGGACTTCAGAGTTATCATAGTTCTACAGTAGCAATGAAACAAAGTTCATCCACAGTGAAAAATGCCCCTACTCTGGTTTCCTGGTGCTATGTACAATGGACGCTCTCATAATGGCTGGTCAAAACCCAAACATTTGAGCTCAAGGTCTTTTACTAAATGGCAAATGAAGAAATAAATGTAAGAAAGCCAAAGACAAATGGTTTGACAATGAGCCCCTTGAAGTCTGCCCAGAGAATGAATAAGATCTCACCACTACTCACAGCGAAATCATGAGAGGGGAAGTCAGGAAGCTCTCCTGGTGTGAAGGAAATGAGCATCCTAGAGACAGATGAAGTCTCTGATTTAACCAGTCACCTGAAGAGCAGGGCAGAAAAAGGCAGGGAGGGAGTGAGATAGAAACCCAGACCCAAACCAGTGCAAAAATGGACCCAGCAACAGTCAACAAGAAGTTACAAAGCAGACTTTTGAAGTTACTTCAGCACTGAGGCTCTGACCTTTAAAAATGTCGTCAAATACACAAGGTTTGTCTTGAAGATCTCCCTGTTCTTTCTCAGTAACACCCTATCCCCCTTCGATGCCACTGCCAAGGACACGGGAGCTCCCTACTATGGTGCCCCAGTGGGATCTGTCCTTCTTGCAGAGTATGCCATGCAGTAAACCTTTCATTTCCCTGCCTTTCCCCACTGAAGTTTGCCTAGCCCATGTCCCACTTCCTGAGATAGAGACAGGCTAATTTAGTAAATTAATTCTAAGATTTTAATGGGAGAAAATGCCTTAATATCTTATCCCTCTCAGATAACAGATATAAACTTTAACAGGGACCTTTAGAGCCTTAACCCATAGCAATGGCTAATGGCAGGAACCAAAGGAGCCACATTAACCAATGGGAATGGGGGGATCATTACTCAGTTTTTAGCAGCCAGGCTCCTAAACTTCAAAATTAGGAGGCTAGATGAGATGGCCTCTGAGTCCCTTTCTCATGTCAAATCCCACGATCTGTGGTATAATATTCTATGAATCAAACCAGCAGGCACCTCCCTGATCTATGAGCATCCCTATCACTATCTGAAAATAAGCCATGGAACCTGACTTTCAAGAAAGTGTCTGAAATCAAAAAAACAATGCCAAAGAGATAGCCTGATGTCAGGGAAAAGCATGCTTGACTGGAGTCGGAGGACCTGAGTTCAAATCCCTGAGCCACCATTTACCACTTCCATGAGGTGGTACCACCTCGGGAAAGTCTCTTAGCTTCTCTGGGCCTCAGTCTTCTCCTTTACAAAAGGAAGAGGTTGGACCCAATGATTTCCAGCACCCTTTTTACTTTCAAACTGATGATACCTGAATTCAAATCCTGTTTCAGTCACTTACCAGCTATGACCTTAAACAAGTTACTTAATGTCAGTTTTCTAATATGAAAAAATGATGATAATCCTAACACATCAGAGGGTTCCTATGAGGAATAAATGAGGTACAATCTGTGATTCATTTTACAAACCCTAGAGTGCTGTATATGTGTGCTATCTTAGTTATTATGCTGTGATATAACTTTGTTCAAATGTTCTTTATGTAATAATAACTCACACTTAGATGCTACTTTGAGGTTTACAATGCACTTTCCTCCTAACAGACCTGCGAGATGAGTAGTGCAGGTATTATTTGCCCCATTTTGCAGATAAGGAAATCAAGTCAGTGATAGGTTGTATGATGTGCTCAGGATTTCAGAGTTGTTACAGGGAAGATTTGAATCTGTTTCTTCTGACTCCAGTTAAAACATTCTCTTCACTACTCTACTGTTGTCTTTCAGTGGTGTAAGATGGCAGGGGAGTTAATTTAACAAATTCAAATTTAATAAGCATTTAGGGAGTACTCACTATGTTCAAGAGATTATGTTAGGTGCCACGACATTTCACAAAATCAGATAGTGGCAGTTGTATCATGATGGCCCAAGGGAGTGGGGATGATGGCCTGAGCTGGAGTGGTGCCCATGGGAGTGAAGAGGAGATATGTTTGGGAGATGCAGAGACAGAAATACCAAGACATGACAACTGGGTTGGGCAGGGGAAAGATTGATGGATTGGAGCCAAAGGGTCCAGGTTCCAATTCTAGCTCAGTTACTTCCTATCTGTACAACTTTGGGTGAGGTGGTTAAGCTCTATGGACCAATCTCCTCCTCCATAAAATGAGTGGATGGGACAAGACAATCCCTCAACTCCCTTCCTCTTCTCATGCTATGATCCTATGATGTGCTGGTGTGAGTTTCTTATAGCCGTATATTAGCTACACTATTGTTGGCGCTCCAATGACTCCAGTGGTTTTCTACCTGGGAGGTATAAATCTGTGTACCTGTTCCAGATCCACACAAGGTTTGATGCTTACAAATTCTTTTCCACTAAGCCCTTTTGCAACTGGTTTACTCCCTTAATTCCACTCCAGCAAGCATCAGGTTCGAGAGATTAACGACTATGCTACGGAGATCCACTGAAGGAATTTGATCAGAGTAACATCATTCAGTAGTATTTTAAAAGATGAACCTGACAACTGTGAGTCACGTGGATTGGAGCAGGGGAAGTCCTGAGGTGGATGGATCAATTAGGAGGCTACTATAATAAGCTAGGTATGAATCGATGAAAAATACGTCAATAGAGTTAGCAATAAAAAGGGTGTCAGAGATTTGGAGGCTTAGTAATAGTACCTTGCACACAGTGGGATCTCAATAAGTTTGTTGTTTTTGTTTGATTAAGTATAAGATTCAAGGTAGAAGGAAGATTCCAAGAGAGCAGTTTTGTATTTGAATATGTGGCAAAATAATGACACTAGTGAAAGAAATAGAAAAGCTATTGGAGGGACTCATTTGCAGGGTGGTATGAAGGAGAGATGAAAAGTGTAATTCTGAGGGGTAGGGCAGACAGCACATCCAGATGGGAGTGTCTGGGCAGGCAGGCAAGCAGGCAAAAATACATAATTCAGCAAATAAACTTCAGGTTCCTTTCTCCCTGCAGCGATCAGTTCAATTCTTCTTCTCTTGATGACCTTGCCGCCTTGTCTTAACTGCTATTTATAGCCTGTCAATTCTCTGGATCAATCTTTCCCACCAAAACCAACCTCACCACCATCGTCCCACCTTTTTCAGAGCAGCTTAACACTACTGGAAGGACTATCTAGGTCCACTAACAATTCATTTCATCAAATCCCAGCAGGGTCCTCACTGATGCAGGGCAAAAGAATTCTTCTTTGATCAATTCTGTAGCCCACTCTCCTTAAAAGGCAATCCAAATCTTCTCTTCTCAAACCCCCAATACTTCCTCCTCTCTCCTCCTTCTCAACAGATATCCTGGCCTCCTATGTTATTGAATACATTGAGGCCACTTTCTTCTCTTCACTCCCTACCTCAAAACCCCACTATATCTCCTTCTCCTCTTTTTCTGGGGAAAATATAGTCCTTCTTAACCAAATGAATCCCTCATCCTCAATCCCAACCCCTCTCATATTCTCCAAGAGCTTGGCTCATTGGTGATTCCTTCACTCATCTTCAGTTGTCTCCTGTCTACCAGCTTTCTTCAGAGTCAACAAATACAAGTTTAACTCATCCTTTAAAAAAAAAACTTTACTTAACCCTGCCATCCTAACATTGTAGCCCTATGCCTTTCTTCCGTTTTACTGCTAAAGTCCAAGAAAAGTCATTCTACTCTGCCTCCACTTCCTCATTATTCACTCCCTTCTCAAACCCTAGGAATCGTATTTCTAATCCCACCATACAACTGACACTGCTCTGTCCAAGGTTGCCATAGATTTCAACCAACCTGCTAACTTGAGTAGTCTTTTCTCTGACCTCTCTGTAACTTAGGAAACCACTGACTTCCTTCCTTTGTATGTACTTAGCTACTCTAATATAGCTCTCCTCTGATTTTTCTCTTATCTATCAGACCACTTCTCAGTCTCTTCCTAGAGAAGCATCCAGCTCCTATTTCTTCAGTATGGATGTTGCCTATGACTCTGCCCCAGACCCTCCTCTCTTTTTTCCAGTCTCTCTCTTGGAGACCTCATCAGCTCCCATGAGTTCAAATATCATCCCTATAAAACCATATCCACCCTCAATTCTTCAATTGTCTGCTAGATTTCCCCTCATGGAAATCCTTTGGGCAATTTCAACTCAATAGGTCTGAAACAACTCATCTGCCCCCATAAAGATTCCTTCATCTCCCACTCTGGTGCATCCATATTTATTCAGTTGCTAAATACCACAGCTATTGCCTTTTTCTCAATTCAGGCCCCCATCACCTCCTGTCTAGTGTACTATGACATCTCGATCAGTGCTTCTAGTCTCTCTCCTCTCCAATCCATTCTCCAAACAGCAGCGAAAATAATCCTTCTAAGGCACAGGTAAGGCCATGTTACACTCTGCTTTAAAAAAAAAATCATCAATGGTTCTCTATTGTTGCTCAAATAAAATACAGACTCATTAGCTTGGAATTGTAAAAATAACAGCAAGCATTTATTAAGCCTCTAACATATGAAGACACTGTGCTAAGTGCTGGGGATGTAGAGGCATTGGAAGAATGTGGCATTTATGAAGAAGACGGAGGAGGAGGAAGAGGAGGAGGAGGAGGAGGAAGAGGAGGAAGAATGTTCCATAGGCCAGGTCTGCACCATATTGTTGCTGGCTCCAGAGTCCATAGCCTTAGAATGACAGAGTTCTGACTCCTGCAAATCAACTGAAGGTTTCCCAATGCTTTGGCCAAAAGTATACAATACAAATTCACTTGTGGTCAGAAATATGCCGATACAAAGACTGAAAACAGCTTGTCCAACCTCACTCCCTAGCTCAAGACAATAGAGGCCAGAAGTCCTGAGTCTTACAACTAAAAGCCCTCCAAAGAAAACAGTAAGAAAACTGGCTCAAAACCAGGCTAGAGAAATGCACAAAAGTAGAGACTAACCTAATTTTCTCATTTTTTTTCCTAAGAATGTATACCTTTGATTTTTTTAAAATGTATATATAGGACAGTGTTCCTGTGCCTTTGCAAATCTCTTATCAGTTTCAAAAGGATTAGCTATGCCTAGTATTTGATACTCACAAATGATGATCTCCTATGGAAAAAATCAGATTTGTATGTTATTACTTTAATCTATCAAATCAAATTTGGGAAACAAAAATGATACCAGTAATAAAGACCACAAGAAAAAACCCAGCTCCACACAATGTACTCAAAGTAAGCAAATCTGATTAAAGAGACTCATTTTGGGGAGCAGGTTTTAAAACAATGTGTCAGAAACAAGCTTGAAAAGGAAGTGAGCACTTGGTTTGCAGGATTAAACATGAATTTAACTGTCAAAATTATCAACAAATGCAGTGGGCATGGTCCTAAAGAACCACAGTCAGAAATGTTCTGGTTTGGGGCATCCGTATTGTTTTCACTCCTATTGAAAAGCTTGGACCCACCCAGATTTTCACAGGATGTGAGTTTGCTAATGAATCCTGGCCAGTTTAACTCTGAGTTGCTGGAATGAAAAGAAAACAGCTTTATCTCATAATGGCTTCGGTAAAGGAAACCTTAATGAATTGTGTCAAGTCTGCAAACGCACTTTCCAATAATTACATTCCTGGTAGTCAGAAAAGGGAAGCAAGGGACGAAAAGGAAGCAGGCATTTACTGAGCACTTACTCCTTGACAGGCACGTTGTGTGCTAAGCACTTTATGAGGTGGGTGCTACTATTAACCTTATTTTACAGATGAGGAAACTAAGGCAGACAGTGGGTAAGCGACTTGTCCAAGGTCCCACAGCTAGTATCTGAGAACAGCTTTGAACTGAGGTTTCCTGATTCTATCCACTGTACTGCCTACACCTCTAAAAGTGTTCCTCCTCTTCTCTAAAGCTAATCTCTCAATCCCTGTTTTCCAGCTTATCCTCCCACACGTACCTCTCCTAGGATTCTTCTCTCTCTCAGTTATTTCCGCCTTTCTCCTTTTCCTTTTCTCTCCATACAGCAACTTCTTTTTTGTTGCCTACAAATGTTAGCTGTTTGACCTTAGAACAAAAGTCATGTGACACTTCGTAACTTCCCCAAAACTTTGTTTCATTACCAGTGAAATGAGAGTTGGGCCAATTGATGCTTGAAATCCCTTCTAGCACTAAATCTATGATACACAGGTTTCCCCTTTCTTGAATAATAACAACAAAAAACCAACTTGCTTCATCCTGCTACCTTCTCTAGCTACCACCATACTTCTCACCAACCTTTCACTGCCATATTTCTCAAATGAGAGGTCTGCATCAATGCCTCACCAACCCATCTGGCACCTCTTCCTACCACTCTACTAAAATGATAAACTAAAGAAGTCCACCTGGTACCTATTCCTAACAATCTACCAAAGTGGGAAACTCAAGACCTAATTGACATAGCCACATGTTTTAGTTTTTCTCCTTGATCTTGCTGCAGTATTCAACACTACTGATGGCGTAAAGTTTGTGCTGCTCACCTAAGGTATGTTCCTCCACGGTGACTATCTAAACGTAAAGACAGGTGGCTTGAGGGGAAGTATTGCTAGCTGTCTCTGGATTCTTGCCCCACCCTTCTCCAAGAGACACTGAAGTTCCTGCCTTGAAGGCAGAAAGAAATGAGGTCACAAAGCTGGCCACACTGTTCTCCTCTGAGAAAGGGATACTCTCTAGACTACACATATCTATCTTTCCCCCTAAAATTGATGATCTAATGGCATGATTGGTTTGGAAGAAAAAGCTTCTGGCCAGTATCTCTTAAAAAAGGAAGGGAAGCCCAAGCTTACACCCACTGACTTGTTCCCTTCCAACCAAATGCTAATTACACAAAAGACCATAACAAATACCAAATAATGAGTAAATTCATTTACCTAAGCAGATAAAAAAACAGAAATTGGAGTTCTACAGATTAGAATAAAACAAAATACACAAGAGTGAATGGACTCTTTAAATAAGACGGCAATGAGACGTCACTCAACTAAAAGAGGCCCTGATCTCATCCGAGGAAATTCTCCAACATCTCTAGGGAGACAAGCTGAAAATCAGGAAAAGACTGAAGAGCCAGGTTCCCCACATGTCAGTAAAAGAGACTTTGTCTTTCTCCTCTCTGGAGCTGGTCTCAAAGAGAGGTTGGAATCAAGAATGTCTCTTTCAAAGAGGGAACAAAGAATATTTGTCCTCCCCAAAGCTTCTCACACCAAATTTGTCCCTTCACAGGAACATAGCATCTGTTAGCATTCTGTCCGCCAGTTAGGAGAGTCTCGTGTAAAATGTTCCACACTTGGCTAGAAACCACTTGTTACCTCCTTCTTTCAAATCTCTCTTCTTGGGGCAGCTAGGTGGCACAGTGGATCAAGTACCAGCCCTGGAGTCAGGAGGACCTGAGTTCGAATCTGACCTCAGACCAAACACTTGACACTTATTAGCTGTGTGACTCTAGGCAAGTCACTTAACCCCAATTGCCCAAAACAAAAATCTCTCTTCTCTTGCTTTCAATGAAATGATATTCTGATTCTCATCCTATGTCTGTCAATCCCACATCTCTCCTCTGCTGCTTTTCTTCCAATTCTCCCTAAATGGGGCAAATAAAAGTTGTTGATCCCTACAGCAAATGTCCCCAGTCTGTTGTGCTGACAAAGATGAAGGAAGTCATGTGTTCTCCATAATTCTGCCTTGATGTAAAATGGCTGCACCCATCTCAGGAGCTAAGTTCCTGCACTTGGTTATTTGTCCCCAAGAGGGTCTTCCTTCTCTTGCTGACTTCTGAGCCCATGGCCGTATGTGGGACAGCTGAAAGTCTGCTGGAAGTCTGACCCTGAGATAAGTGGGATGCTAATATATTACCACTGCACCTTGTATGATGCATCTTCCCAAAACCAATCCAAAATTATCTAGACGATAAAGAACATTAAATCACAAGCTAAGGATTCTGGCTTTAGAAAATCAAAGTAACAAAGGATTGTTTTGATACCAACCAACATAGAAAGATTATGTTGCTGTCTTTCCTATGGAGAATTTCTACATGTTGCCAAGCAAGCATCAGAGAGATTGTGATGTACTGTATGCATACCTTGCCTCAGGATGGCACTTCAGACTTTTAAAGATTCACAAGAACCAGTTCCTCAGGAAGGGGTAGCACAGAGGAACAATGCCATTTGCAATTGTATTTGACTTTCCATGATGCCAGTTTAGAATTGCAATAACTTAGATTAGGAAGGAACCTTAGATGTCCATGCTTGGGATAGATACCACCCTAATTCACCAAGAGATTCAAGACTTGTTGGTTACCCTCAACCTGGTTTAGCCCATCTGCCAAGATGGCTTTAAGAGGGTGAGGCTGCTGTGCATGCCACAGCTCCTTGGAGCCACAGGTAAGAGTTGAGTGCCAGGTGGGCACCAAAGGTGGATGAACAGCCCTGAAAAGGGCTCAGCAAGTCCTCGTACCAAAGATGTTAGTCCTCCCTGAACATCCCATATACTCCATAAGCCTCAGTGGGCATTGAAGTCATCACTGTATTACAGGATAAATATGATCATTAATGCTCATGATAACCTGGATCATCAGAATGAGGTGATATGGTGTCCAGTATATTTTGAAGAAAATAAAAAACTTCAGCATGTATTTTAGGGAAATAGACATCCAAATGATTACTAGAGTTATTTCAACATTGCAGCAGAACCATGACCTCACTGATAGGGATATTTCAAGTATTTCCTCCATTGGTTACAAACCACCTACACCTCCTCATCTTTGTCTACATTCTCCTTTGGTGCCTCCACAGTGGTCCTACCTATTGTTCCCAATTGAATCCAAATAGTTCCTTAAAATAGTACAAAAAGCAAGTAAGCCTCAGCTAATAATAATGATAACGTCTGACATTTATATGGTGCTCTTCAGGTTTGCAATGTGTGTCAGTTACATGATCGCCTCTGATTCAGCTATCTGGAACAGTTCATTCCCTGACAGTTTCAGTGATGCAAAGTTTTATTGTATTTGATTTTTACTGCTCTGAGATCCAGGAAAAGTGAGTTATTCCCAACAAGACCATAAAGGTCCTAATAACTTAACCATGTGAAATAGGCTGCTTAGCAACACTGACATTTTCCTTAAGACCATCTAGATCTTTATTAATTATGGACAAATTCCATCCATGTGATCCGTGGTGCAAAGCCAACTTGGTGGCTTTCTCTTCTTTCCTGAAAGTTGTTTGTGGAAATAGTTGAAACAGAAGAAAATTCATACTTCTTTCTCTAAAAGAGCAGAAAAGAATTTCTTTACTGTCATCCCTGTTCTGCTCAATTCCAGTGCCATATGTGGTCTCACGTCATGAGGCAGCGAGCTTCCCCCTACTAGTGACTTACCCACGGTGAGGCATTTTCCCTAATGTCACAGAATCCTTGCCCAGAATTCATAGGATCATAGGTTTAGAGCTGGAAGGGATCTTGTAGGTCAGCTGATCAAACTCCTTCCTTTTACAAAGAAGGTCACTGAAGTTCAGGAAGGCAAAGGAATTTGCCCAAGGTAACACAGATAGGAAGCATCCAAGCTGAGATTCCAACAGAGCTCCTTCCACATTGCCATCTTAGGAGAACATGGTGAAGCTTTCCATATCAGCTGAGCAATAATACTGGTCCAAATGATAGTATCTCCTTTTCCTGTTTCCATCCTACTTCTATTGATTCTCTATGATGTTGCTATCAAACCCTCTCAAGATTCTGATGTCTTAATGGCTTTCTCAACAGTACTGCTGAGAGCTAACATCCTCAATACTTCCCAAGACTTATTTTCTATCTCATGCACATAATTTGCCTTAATTTATTTCTGTTTAATCCCTTCCTTTGGTAGTGTTTACTATTTTGATTACTAGGAACTTTCTTCAAGATATGTTTATTGCCTTAAAAAAAAACTTCATTGTAAAACAAAGACAAAAGTCTTCATTTGAAGGGATCACCTCATTAAGTGGGGTAGCTAAGTGACACGGTGAATAGAGCCCAAAGACATGAGTTCAAATACAGCTTCAGGCACTTATTAGTTGTGTGCCCCTGGGCAAGTCACTTAAACCTGTTTGCTTTAGTTTCCTCGTGTGTAAAATGAACCAGAGAAGGCAATGGCAGACCACTCCAGTATCTTGGCCAAGGAAACCCCAAAAGGGGTCACAAAGGGTCTGATGGAAAAAACAAATAAACAAGCATCATTAAGCATTCAGCGAAGTATCTGAGTCTTTATTTTAGTCCACAGCGTCATATAGAGTCCGTAGAAATATTTAACTTATTTGAAATTATTCCTTCCATGATATTTTTTCCCTAATGCAAAACATTCCCCCCACTGATCCACGCATTTATGTGACTAAAAACTCAAAAATCCTGGTTTGGACTTAGAGTTTGCTGTTCTTCCACATTGGCATCAGTGATGATGCTGAGCCCGGATAAAAAGATCAAATGCAGGGTTAGTCAGGCCATCTTGAGATGATTTCCATAGAAAACATGAGTACAATAATACAACATTTTATTTTTCTATGCTGAGAAAGAAGAAAGCCCTCTAGTTTCAGGTATTCACCCATGGACATAATTAGTCTGGCTGCAATTCTTTACATCTGATCATCTCTCTAGAGCTAAAAGGGACCACAGATGCCACCTAGTCCAATCCCTTCATTTTACAGACAAGGAAACTGAGGCCCAGAGGTTGAGACTTGTCCAGGATCACACAGGCAGTAAATGTCTGAGGCAGTATTTGAACCCAGGTCCTCTGACCCCAGAGCCACATAAAAAAAAAAGAAAAACATAATTTACGAGCCAACATGGAAAGTCTATATAAGTTGCTAGGTGACATGCTCCTCAGCCAATATGCTGTCCTTTTCCAACTTTCCCTTCTACCCTGATCCACTGGTCACTGCTAAGATATAATAAGAAATGGACCTGATCTCTTTAGTTGTGAAGAGTTTTTCATATAAATTCTTACAGGTT